AACTTAGGCATGACTTTTGTTGCCGGAAACTGCCTAGACATGAGAGTCCCTCAGTCTGTATGCTGTGGCTTCCTTTTATCAAACAGTGGCCTTTAGGTAATGCACTCCAGGACATCTTAGGGTTTTTTTTGCCCTCACAACCACCTATAACTTGGACTATTTTGAGTCATTGTTAATCACCTGAGAAAATTCTGGTAAAATAGTATCACTCTCCACTTTCTCAAATGGTTCAATTGGATTTTGTTTTCTTGAGATGGAAGAGTATTGGAATGTCATGAGTTTTCCAGACTGATCAGATAACCCTTTATCTGGTTCTTTTCTTAGGCTCAAAGCTATCTCCCATAAATTCATATTGTATGTCTTGGAGGTTACATGACAAGCTCACAGACAAGCTTTACCTTCTCCATTCTGTCACATGAAGGTGTAATATGTTTTGAAATGTGTATTTACAGATGTACAAGTAAAACATATATGAAAGCAAGCACATGCTCTTGAAAAGCTAGGATTACCAGATATCTGGTGAAAGGAGAACGTGCCCTCCTTTTTGTTCTCATGTCTTCTGTCCAGCAGACATAGCCTTAAAATCAAATATTGTCTGGCTTTTTTGAGTGTCCTTTTTTGGGGGGACTATTTTCACAACAGTCATTCAAACTTTTGTGTATTGTCACCTTGAAAATTGTTTACTTCTTTCTTTCCTTCATTGATCAACAAACTTGACAGGCTAGATTTACATTACTTAATTTATTTCCTAATTCTAGCAATTGGCTTCAATCCAGCCCCTTCAGATCTCTGATCACACTAATCATGTAGATCACACGACTCACATTTCTATGGTGAAATTTGATTCGCACGTTGTCAATTCTGTATTATCATAGCATATGTTCTTGAAAATAAAAATTTGTTGGAAAACTATTGCAATTGAAAAACCAGTCTTTCTGTTGCTGGAAAAAGTAATTTCATATGCATGTAGACCTAAGCACATTTTTCTGCAGTTTTTCCTGTAATTTTTGTCATGGATGCTAAGAAAATTGAACAGTTAGTGTGTCCTCCCCCCCCCCCATTTATCCTCCTTTTCAATTGTCCATGTCCTCCTTTGCCTGTTCAGATATCTGGTAACCCTATGCAAAGCCCATGATCCCTCCACCCAGAAAAATAGAAACCCAAAATCTAGTTAGCCTGCCTCCCATACTGACCTTCCAGTTTCAGCTAAATCTAATTGGAAACTCTAACCTTTTCCCTTTCTCACTGCCTTTCAAATTAACATTAATTTTTTTTTTTACTCCTATCTTCTCTCTCTCCAGGAATGTCTGCAACAAAGTGGGACAAGTTATGGCAAGTTATGGTGGGTGCTATGGGTTGTATTATTTTTAGAAAGAGTGATATATTTATTTCCCACACGTCTGTGCCTCTTTTTTTTTTCTGCATTTTTTAAGCAATTATTCTATTATTGTACACAGCCCAGAGTCGTTACAGAGTTAGACGGCCACATAAATTTAATACCTAAATAAACCTCACCATGCAGTGATGTCACTGCACAAGGCCCTTCTTTATCTGCCAGTGTCACAATGACTGTAAGATGGGGCTTGTGTAGTGACATCACTATGCATGCTCGAATGTAATCAAACTTCCATTATTCCTTGCTTACTGGCAAAGGAAAAAAAAAACAGGCCAGCTGGCTCGTTTTGGGCTGGTAACTGCTAGTTACTGGTTGAGAGCAGACCAGTTGCAGGCTGTTGTTACTGGCCGTTTTTTTGCCACTAAGCAATAACTGAACTGCCATGATAATAGTAATGCTATCTTTTGCTTGGATTTTTTTTTTTAATCTGTGAGTCACTGCCATTGACATCATTGGCTATTGTATGAAAGCCCATGCCTTCTTTTCAGATGCAGAGTATCACCATCTCAAAGCTCCAATCAATATGTCAGTTAGGAGACTCCCAACTTCATCTTGATGAAACATTGATCATCTTGGACATCATAACCATTCTATCTGACCATTCTTTTATTAGGCAGATTAATGGTTTACACCAAAATACCACTTGTCTAAATGTCAGACTTCAAAGTTTGTTGTGAATATGTCTACTCTCCATCCCCAACTCTGAAATATTACCCAGGAGTTACACTTCCAGAATTGGAAGTCAAAGTTTCCAATTTATTGGACATTGCTCCCCAGAGTGCTTTAGATATAGTAATTTATGTTATGAATTATGTCCTATCGATGGCACTAAAAAGAAAAACAGGAATTAGGACATTCTCAGCTGTTCAGTGATAACAAAAGTGTGCATTATTTACCAAAAGCCATTTTTCATCTTATTAATGTGATTGTTCCAAAAACTGACTCAGTGTTCTTTAATAAAAGGTGAAGGATTTCTCACTGTCCCAGAAGCAGAACAGTGCTTATAAACAACGCACAAGGCCAGGAACAGCAGCCTCTTTCTCTCATTAGAGAAATATTTCTGGGAATAGCACAATGCTATTTCAGACATAGGCTTTTAACCATTCACCCTGCCTTAGTGATTTTTCAAGTGCAGGCTGCTGTTTGCCTTAGTTAATTAAAAGAGTGCTTTTAAAATCCTAAAAAGTCTTTTCTAAACAGATGGTAAATTTTAGCAGAGCCTTAAGACCAAGAAACTCTTTGACTTTTTAATCTTTTGTTAAGCAAGAAGCTAATCATTTATATGTCAAACTGCTCTTTGGTTCCACTGGCTGTATCCCAACTTTCTTCTTGGTTCACTTAGATGTCAGGTAACAGAAAAGCTAAACCTTCTTAGCTAAGGACTCTTAATTCTTAAAGTTTAAATATTACCTACTCCAGTAGGAACTGAGTATCCAAATTCTTGAAGTGGCTTTTGGAATCTCTGTCACCAAAGGTTTTAACATTTGACTATTAAATTTTTATATTTGATTGTTAGACTTGGGACAAGATGGCCTTCTTTGAATGGAATAGTAACCAAAGAGTTTATTGTAAACAAAGAAGAAAATTAGATTCAGTTCTAAAACTATAGCTCTGACTTTGAAGGATTTAGCTTTAAGATACTGAAGAGTGGGTAGCCCCCAAATTAAATGTATGTCTTCTAAGCCACATGTTGCAATTCAGTTTAAAATCTACCTTGTGCTCTTTATTTTTCTCCCCACGCTGCCAATAGCTTTTCAATAACATTTCATGTTTCTGTTTTAATTTTCCTTCTGTGTGTGCATGTTTCTCTCTGTGTGAGTCTATATTGTTTACTACCTTATAAATATAATTCATTGGTACGTTTTAATGAATTGTTTATAATATGGAATATCCAGAGGTGTCACTACCTTATATACTTATAAATCTACCAACAGACAGCAAAAATAAAGCACTGAAAATATTGGGAAAAGTTGGTAGTAATTTAGAATTGTTTCTTAAATAGATTCTGGAAATGTTTTACCTGTGTAACAGCAGATGGATCTATGCTGGGCTGTGAACAGAAGGTCATACCTCTTTTCAGCAAATGAACTTTAGCTGTAAAATGAGTGGATTTATTTGCACATTACTCATTGATCATATAACTTTGTGCTTTCTGGCTTCTTTATTATATTACAGGGATGTATACTGTAATTGAGAAATCTTCCTGCCCACCCATACATGTGTTGTATTCTTCCATTTTTTTAATGTGCATGGGTGGGTTAGTCTTTCCCAAGGACACCTTCATTATTCATATAATGACCAATGAATACCAAAATGCAAAGTTTTCCACACAAGGTTCGGCCCCTGTTAATTGCACAAAATTGGCCATAATCAGCGCTAATAGGATGTAAATTTCCAAATTCTCAGTCTCTTCACCACTGTTAGTTACCCATTTGTGTTTTCTCTCCTTTTCTTAAATATCTATGATACTTGCAGTCCAGCTAGTTCACCCTGTGCTTCTGTTGTTGTTGTTTTTATTGGAGAGAGTACCTGCCATGCTTTCTGCTTCCCAGCAATAATAACATTTCATTCAACTTGAAAAGGGGGGAACATTTTAATGCAATTTTGTTAGCATGCTAATCTCACAGGACTTTCCTCTTAGGAACTGATGGAATTTTTTTCCATTGGATTTCTTAGAATGTTGCCTTCACAGTGTTCTGCACTGAACTGGTGACATAGTGAATAGTAGACTTTTGAGGCTTCTCAGTGCATTTGTAAATCATTTTTTAAAATGATCTTCCCTTGCAAACACCTCATTAACAGACATTGTGTGTACTGTACAAGTAGGAGGAAATGCTTAAATGTTATTTTATTTATTTATTTATTTATTTATTTATTTATTATTACACTTGTATGCCGCCCATCTTCCCCAATGGGTGACTTTATGAAGTAAGGGAGAAGGACTATTAATTGATTTGCTGAATATTGGAAGCTCTTAGGGCAGTATACACAGTGACTGAACAATCCGAAAGAGTGAGCATTGATTGTTTGCTGCACACACCTATGACCTTAAATGAAAACATTTAAGAATTTCAGATAACAGGACATCACAATGTGGTGATATCAAGGATTGCTTTTGAAGTGCATTTTGAATAATTAGCATATAGAAAAGCTGTTATTTGACTGAGGTTAATTTAAATTCACTATGTTAAAATGTGTCACCTGAAACAAGCTACACGCATGGGTATTGTCCTGATTTTTAGGGGAGTAGTTACTACATGTAATATAAAGCACTTTAATTTTCTAAATTCTATTCTACTCTAAATAAACTTTCTGTGAAATACATAAACACAGATTATCTCAATATAGCAAAAAAGTAAAGTAACTTTTCTTAAAGTGGGGTTAATCTAAAGGAATTGTCTTCACCTGTTACTTACAGATACAATAATACTTGTGCAGTCAGATCATTTTGAAAAAGTACTTACTTTTTTGTATTATGTCTATGTGCAGAATCTTGTCTTACTTTACCCCATGGAGGTAGATAAATAAGTGCTGCTTATGGGCGATGTAGGCTTATAACAATGGAGATGTCTGCTTCTATTCATTCTTTTCCTTATTTCCTTAGCTGTATGTGATCCTCCATGCCAGAACAAAGGATCCTGTAGCCGTCCCCAGCTTTGCATTTGCCGTTCAGGCTTCAGAGGCTCCCGGTGTGAAGAGGTGATTCCAGAAGAAGAGTATCACCCTCCTGGCCTTGCAACTGCCTTTCAGCCTCCGGCAGGTTCCCTTCAAAAGAGAAGAAACAGTGCAGAAAAAAGAGAGCAACAGCTACCTATCATACAGAAGCTACCAGCTGGGTAAGTTACCTCAGTTATATGCAACAGCTATTATTTCCTTTTTGTAAGTTTTACAGTGGTGAAGTGGAAGGGTAGCTGACTCCATTCTGGAGCAAATGTGGAGAACAAGAAAGATGTATTTGCATACGTGTGTGAAGTCACTCACCAGCTCTGAAGAACTGTGGGCCAAGAGGTTGTCCCTCATCAAATATGTCTGCCTATGGAATGTAAGCTGGATAGGTAGTAAGCTGTGTTGCTATTACTACCTTAGAAAATCCACTAGCCTCAAAGCTGGTGCTGAATTTTTTTCGAGACACTTTTTCTGCATTGTTTCTTCAGTATTATTCTAAACAGTAAGAAAGCAGTCATGCATAAAGCGGACTGCTATCATTTCCTAGGTCTCAGTCAAAGTTGGGAGCCTTCAGTGACACACAACTGCATGGTCAAACTTACAGTATTTAGGACGGAAGCAAGTAACAATTGCTAAATTGTGAGGATATTTTGCTGGTGCTGTTATTATGGGAAAAAAAGAATAAATGCATGTTTTATGACTGGAGAAAAGTTTGAAAATGAATGGTCTATCAGAAATTGTCAGCCATGAATATATAAACTACAGCTCTTTGTTCCCATGGCACCTCCAGTACTTTTTCTTTCAACCCCTATTCCATGTTTGGGCAAAATGATTTTAAAACTTAGCCTAATAGTGCTTTTATGATTGTGCCCTTCAATTAAATAAAAGAATACTATATGTACAAGTAGGCCACTGCAAAAAAACAATTAAAAAAATTGCAGTGCAAAGTTCCAACCATTCAATTCTATTATCTCCCCAGCATAACTTTAGATACAATTTTTTTAAATGCTAAAGCACAAGTCTAACATTACTTTCAAAACAGTGCTACATCTGAAGTTGTTACCTAGCTGGGTAACAAAACATTTGACTAAGAAAAACAACCAA